AAATGAAAATATGGTCACCCTAATATAGCATTAATGTAAGTCAATGAAATGTCCCCATAAAGCCTGTAAACACAGCTGTGTGTGTAATGACTCTGCAGTCGATGGGAGTATCAGAGTACAGGGAGTCGCTTTGTAGCATGATGAGGAAACAATCATCTGATCCTAAATGTGAAGAAAACAAAGGAGATTCAGAAGAAACAGGAACAAGTTGAATCATCTTAACGTCGTGGGAGAAAAAGTGGATGTGGTGCAGGAGTATAAGTACCTTGGAGTTCACTTAGACAACAAACTAGACTGGAGATGAGCTGTGCAGCTCTACAATAAGGAGCAGAGCAGACTGGACTTCCTAAGGTAGCTTAGATCATTAGATGCAGCGAGATGCTACATATCTCCATCAGTCTAGTGTGGAGAGTCTGATCTTCTCCTACATCATTTACTAGTATAACAGCAAATTATTTACAAAAACCTCAACAAGCCGACAAACAATTCCAACTCTGTTCTTCTCTAAAATCTCTGGAGATTATTTTACTAAAGAAAATCTTAATTTCCCTTTAGGATCAACAAAGCCTTTTGAATGGAATACATTTGAATTAATACTTTTTTATAGATGCTTTGCTTTGTTAAATTCTTTATTAAATCAGAATAAGGATCGATAAGAATATTTAAACAAGAATAAAGCTCAGCCCTCCTCCACCATTGGTGTGTCTCTTTTTTTTTTTGGTCAACAAGCAGGAATCCAGTTATTAAATGTTTTTTTTTTATGTTTTCTTGTATATATAATCATTAAATTAAAAAGGGATACCCAAGAAAAGTTTTATTTATAGAGAAACAGTCATACAATAGAAAAAGAGCATCAATAATAATGCAAGACTGAATAAAAGTGTTTAAACCAAAAGCAAGAGAGATTTTTATTTACTATAAAAACAAAAAATCATGTTTTTTTTTCTTAACCATGCTATAAAATCTGGATATTTTTCTGGTGCAGGATGTGGAGGCGGTGCCGCTGCCAGACGGACACCTTTGCTTGTTGGCTCTGCCTCCTGAGTGCTGCCAGGGCGAGCGGCCGGAGCCCATGCTGTACCTCAAACTGTTCTGCCACCACATTACCGACGGAAAGGTGGGGATGATGATCGATGCCGCTGTGATTTCACGTCTGAAAGCTCGCCTCACCTCTCCGTCTCTTTCAGGGTGTGGTTTCTGGCATCCTGGTCGTGACGTCCAATAAAATCTTCTTCGATCCGTCAAAGACCCATCCTCTGGTGACGGAGCATGGCTTTGAGAACTACCTCCTGTCCTTCACCGTTGACAGCCTGGCATCCATCTCCTTCTTCTCTGATAGTTCACACGTTCACTTCAACACCTCCCTGCAGAGGTCAGTGCTCTCACTGCTGCTCCTCATAAACAAAGCAAACTGATTCCAATGACTTTAAAAAGGTTCATACATCTCATTATGTTTTTAATTACAGAAGGAAAGGAAAAACAAAGAACATTTTTCAGAAGCTCAAAGTCACCAAAAGCAAAGGAGGAAGCGTCCAGGGAGAAAAGCAGGAGGAGTTGCCTCCAGCTCTGGTTTCTGCTGCTCCATCAGTGCTGCCCAGTCCCTCACTGGGTCTAACCAAGGAGGAGGAGACGGAGAGCACAGACATGGCTGCTGTGGAGGGGGGGCTGGATAGCGGCTCTCTTGAGGTGCAGCCTGAGGACCCCTTGGGAAGTCTGGCAGTCCTGAGCAGCGCCGCCACCTTCTGCTGCGGAGGTCCAGAGGCAGAGCTGCCAGACGCAGAAAAATCTGCAGAGAGTGAGACCACAGATGGTAAAATCTGTCCTACTTTTACATCTGCTGCTTTCAATCCTTCTGCCTCTTTACTGGAAGTCTGTTTGCTTTCCAGCTCCTCAGAGGCCATCGGCGGGAAGTCTAGGGGGGTTGATGTTTGTACGACTGCGGGTTCAGTCGTCTGCGACAAGGAAGAAAAGTTCAGCTAAAACTTTATCCAGAAGGGACACCTGGCTGGCTCTGTCACAGGAAAGGTAGAAAAAAAAAGCTTCGCAAAAAGCCAAACTTTGAATCCCTTTAATCTTTTATCTGCGTGCCTCCAAACACATGGCCAGGAAGGAAGGAAGGAAGGAAGGAAGGAAGGAAGGAAGGAAGGAAGGAAGGAAGGAAGGAAGGAAGGAAGGAAGGAAGGAACGACCACAGCAATGTGGCAACACAGTAGCTATTGTGCTAAGATGAAGGTCTCCCTGAACACACCAGCCCCACAGTAAAGCATGGTGGTGACAGCATCATGCTGTGTGGAAGCAGCTAAGAGAGGAGACTAGAGAATCGCTAAAGGGTGTAGATCAGGGATCCGAAACCTTTTGAAGCTGAGAGCTACTCCATGCATGCTTAGTCGTACGAAGGGCCACCAATACCGACCTACAGTATGAACAGGAAGTATCACAGTTCACCTAAACTTCATGTATAAAAAACATTTTTTATTGTTTCTTTAAAGAATGATCCATTTAAAATCCCTTTAAATGTGTTTTTTTAAGAGAAACAAAATAACATTTAAAGGAATAGTGCACCCAAAACATGATTAGCCTTCATTTTCTACTCACCCCCATGCTGAACAACACTCTGGAGTACTTTTTTGATATCTCAAATGCATCTGGAGATCTGGGAGGCTTCTTGCTGTCTGCTGACATTCAAATAATGGAGGTCTATGGCGCCCGAGGCAGAAAGGTCCATAAAAGTCCACAAAAAACGTGTCAATATTCCTCCATACTGCTCGTCCAATGTATTCCAAGTGTCCTGAGTGGGTAGCATCCAGAATTTACTCGAAACGAAGTCATTTAGAATGTTTTTAGAGCATAAACAGTAGTGTATAGGATTTCCTAAAAGCGCGTTCACGACTCTACGGAAACCGGCAGACCAAACCAGACGAAAGTGCGCATTCAGCTCGGCAAAGAACTCATGCTCTTCCTCAACACTGAAGTCCTCAGACATTTTTCTTTCGTTGTTTCTTTCTTTGCACAGGTAAACAGCACATTTCTTCTTCTACGCTTGCATTATCGGCAGAGCAGACGCTGAATGCGCACTTTCATCTGGTTTGGTCTGCCGCGGTTTCCGTAGACTCGTGAACGCGCTTTTAGGAAATCCTATACACTACTGTTTATGCTCTAAAAACATTCTAAATGACTTCGTTTCGAGTAAATTCTGGACGCTACCCACTCAGGACACTTGGAATACATTGGACGAGCAGTATGGAGGAATATTGACACGTTTTTTGTGGACTTTTATGGACCTTTCTGCCTCGGGCACCATAGACCTCCATTATTTGAATGTCAGCAGACAGCAAGAAGCCTCCCAGATCTCCAGATGCATTTGAGATATCAAAAAAGTACTCCAGAGTGTTGTTCAGCATGGGGGTGAGTAGAAAATGTAGGCTAATCATGTTTTGGGTGTACTATTCCTTTAAGGCTCGCTGCTTCTATTATTTGATGAGGCTCAAAGGTGCCTCATGTGATCCTTGCGGCCCCCTGGGGCCAGAAAGCAGACAGAGAAGCTGAAGATGGTGGTTAAAGCAGCTTGGATCTCGTCTGCTTGATAAGCTCCACTGGTTGGACTGAATTCCAGGTTGCACTGTGCCTTGCTGAAATAATAACTGAACTTTATTGAATAAACATTGGAGAAATGTACCCATCCCCCTTTGGGAGCAGTGGGCTGCCATCGTGAGGCGCCTGGGGAGCAGTGTGGGGTTAAGGGTCTTGCTCAGGGACCCAGAGTGGCAGTCTGTGGGGCTCAAACTCAGGCTGCCATTCCCCGGAAGGAAAAGAAAAAGAGGGTTTCGGGTTAAAATCCTGGCCTGGGTTCTTTCTAGATGGTGTCAGTATGTTCTACCTGTTTAGGTTCTCCTCAGTTTTTATTCCAAGTCCAGAAACGATGACTTTAATGTTGATTGGTCCTCCTGGCTGCCCTCAGGTGGGCGTGTTTGGTCGTTTGGCTCTTTGCACTGAAGTGAATGAATGATTGTTGGAACCAATTTAAACTTAGCATTGGTGCGCGTTAACAAGTGACGTTTTAACCTGCAGATTTGATTTTTTTTTTCTCCGTGCTCTAAAAGCCTTCAAATAAAAGAAATGATTTTTAAAAAAAAGGCAGGAAGAAGACACCTGACAATAAATCCTGTCTGAACAAAAGCCTGTCAGTTTCCACGCAGCAGTGTTGGTGCAGCTGCAGCTGTTGTTTACCATCTCAGTAATCCCGACTCGTCCTGCAGATCCGACGAGCTGCGCTCCTACCTGAAGCTTTGGCGGCCTGACCTGTGTCTATTGGAGGGGGAGGAGGAGGGGGAGGCAGACCACGACGAAGAGGAGTTTGTTCTAGTCGAGGATAAAGGAGAGGAGGAAGAAGAGGAGGAAGAAGAGGATGAAGAGACGCTGCAGACACTCCGTGGCTCAGGGGACGACTGGGAGGTCAGTGTGTTCAGGAAAACAGAGAACAGCTGAGTCTTCAGGTGGATTTTTATACCTGGGGATCAAGATGTTGACTGATGGAATAACAAGGAACTGATTTAGCTTTTTTAATAAAGGATCTTTATCTTTGTAGATGGTTTTGATGGAGGAGAATAAAGAGAAATCAAGCGTGGTGATTGACAAGGAACCTGAAGGGATCATTAACGTTGTGGAAAACAGCCAAATTCTGGAAGCTTCACATGTCAGAGAGGTGAGCGACTCTCCGCCATTTCAAGCGCTTCACTCTGCTCACATTTAATATAAAGTTCATCAGCTTAACCTGTGAAAAGGAACTGAGACGAATAGCTGATGTTTTGTTAAAGGGTTTTATTTGATCAGGAGTTTCTTTTAATTCACTTAATTATTTCTACTGTAGCCCAAAATCTAGGATTTTTTTTTTCTTTTAATTAAATCCTTTAGTCTCTTACCTTAAAAATTAAAATCTGAAAGAGGATTTGTTTTGCATATAAATCAGGACCTTTACTGCAAATAAAAAAAATTGACCTGATTTACTTAAACGATTCAAATGCTATTTTGTAAACTTCCAAGAAATGAGACTAAATGTGTTCTCCCTGGACTGTAAATGTGTTTTTAAGCCTAACTTTGAACCAGAGTCTTATTTATTTTTAGCAGAAAGCATTTAGGATAACGACCGTAACGTCTCTGAGGCGTCAGACCAGGCGGCTTCTACGGGAAACAATCGTAGACCAAAAAACAGGGATGTTTGCAGCATAATCTGTTAACTAATACATCTTCCATTAGTTTTTTTTTTTATTTATTTAACCCTACATGCACTAAAAAAAATAATGCATTTACTTAATCCTATTTAGTGACTTTAACAGCATTTTTTCATGTTAGCAGGGTAGGACATAAAACAATAGTGTTAAAATAATTAAATATGATTAAGTAAATGCTAAAAGTGGTTGCATTATTTTATTCAGTCTGCTCAATAAGCTTTTTTTTAAAAACTATAGCGCCACCATGTGTCAAATAATCCTAGACCATCCATGAATAGACCATCCTAGGTCTGGCTTTTATTTGACACCTTTAGAAACATCCTAACGAGTGTTTCTAGAAATCATTTTAAAATTTACATTTTCACATTTTCTTTTCACGTTTTCACTTTATTTTTGTTGACCCATTCAGAAGGTTCAGGTATTTCCTTTTAGGCTATGAAATTTTATAAATCACCAAACCTCAAACGGAGATAGTAGAGCTTCTAGTTTGTAATGATTGGAGGACAAAGTTAATAATTTAGTGCCTTTTTAAACACCAGGTGGCGCTAGTTAAACATCTACCATGTTATTTATGTCCACACTGCAAAAAACAATCCAGAAATCAGTAAAAAATTCTTAAATTAAGTATATTTACCCTTAATTTGAGCAGGTAAATAAGATGATCTGCCAATGGAATGAGTATTTTTACTCTTAAAATAAGATAGTTATAATAATATTTACTTGAGATGAGACGATAAAATTGTTTTTTCTTATTTTAAAAAGTGGCAAAGTGTCTTACTTACCTCCTCAATTCAAGGAAAAACGCACTTATTTTAAGAAAAAATAACTTATTGAGATTTCTACTTTTTGCAGTGCAGGATGGCTTTTTAAAGATTTAACTCTGTTTTATCACAAACCCTACATAAAAATCGACATAGTTTTAATTGCGCCTACTTGATTCTATTGATGTTTTTAAGAGTGAACTGAAAACCTATTTGTTTAATTCTAGTAGATTAAGGGTTGTTTTATGACCGTGTCTTTGTGACCTAAATGTATTTCAATATTTGTTTTGTAATTTTGTGAAGCACTTTGTGACCTCTATGTCTAAATAAACATTACTTACATAGTTAACTGCTGTTGCTGTAAAGCCTTAGAATAAAGGAACTAAGGTCTGGTGTGCTGATGAAGGTTCTCAGTCATCCAGGTCATAGTCAAAATATTATTCAAAAAATATCCACTGGACTTGGTTTTCAAGATTTGAAGACGTTTCTCCACCTCTCCAGGAAGCTTTCTCAATTCAAATGTCTGGATCCGCAGTGAGATTGAGTCTTTTTGACAAGGCCTTGTATCGCTTGGAAACATGCAATGGACAAAGGACATTCTTTTGAGGACCAGAATGTTCACATTCTGGATAAAGAAAATAGGTGGTTTGAG